TCATCGTCATCGTCATCGTCATCGTCATCGTCATCGTCATCGTCATCATCAACATCATCATCATCATCAGCAGCAGCAGCAGCAGCAACAGCAGCAGCAGCAGCAGCATCAACGTAGCCGTGAAAGAGATTTTTTGCTTCCAAGTTCGTGGCTTTGAATAATCAGCGGGAGGAAACCGAAGTGGAAAAACGCGACTACAGTGCCTCGCATCTTGCGTTGTTCTTCATCGACGCATAAACTGTTTCGTGGCGATGCCCATTGTCGTTGGCGTCGATACACGGACTAATGACGAGGAATTCGATCCTCGTCGGGTGATATCGCGTGTGCATGCCATATGTCAAAGCTAACTGCCAAAACGCCAGTTACGTGACTGAAGCTGGTTTCAGTGACACTTGGTTGACTCGGAATACAACGAGGAAGATTTCGATTCCTCGTTTCGCGGGTTACGTTTTCCTTTCAACCCTTTTCCCGTCTCTCCGATAGCTTTCATCGAGACGAACAGTTCCCGAGAATAGTCGCGAGACGACGAGCCTATTTTGCACGCACCAGCTTCAGCCTTGCGAAAGTAACGTTTAACAAGTGGAAACGATCGCGATTCCAGTCGCTTATTCGTGACCATTGCGCGATGCTTTCCACGAGAAGGTCGAATTTGCGGTTCGAGTTCGCACGTGCCATCGAATCGTACGGTACCGACGTCGATTGTTTAAAATTTTCGTTATTTTACCAGGTAAAATACTTACGGAGTGGTTGACGCGTTACGGGGAGCTATATGGAAACGTATGCGATTTCTGACAAATCAAATGAATCGAGAGCTCCATCAAACCTTGGACGTCCAATTCTTTGAAGAAATTTATGAGAATGATTGCGTGGACGTAAAAAGAGACCACGTTTAGTTCTCGACATACCAAAATTGAATCATTGATAATCAAGTGTCCAGTGCCATAATTTTTATTACTATTTTATCGAAAATGTAAAGATGTTCGTTTCATGCTTCCGATTCCTTTTCCACATTGTCTTTATTTGTCCCGTATTAGTTAAATTTTTTGATACCGCTCCCGAGTATCTGTCCGCCAAACTTTCTTTGGTCTCTTATAATCCGATATAATTGTCCACTATTTGCTCGAATACTCGTTTGAATGTGTTCATTATAAGCGAATATTTTTCCTCGATTACATCCACTTATAAACACGCGCTTCGTTAAGATTGTCCCCACCACTTGCCCAAGTTACTCGTATGGATTCGACGATAGCAAATGTTTTTTTCCGCGGATGGAAAAATACTTGGGAGCGGTAATGTATTTCTCTTGGATCTGTTTATATTGTATTATATATTTAGATACTTGAAGTGCCAAAATGAAAAAGAAGAAAAACCAGAAAAATGAAGTAGAGCGCTAACCGCGAGAAAGTATCGTTGTTTACGCCTTAAAGCGAAAACATGTTCCTTTGAAACGTCAATGTTTTCGACGTGTAAACATTCGAAGCGAAGCTCGATTTCGGCGGTTTGATTTCCAGCTAAAACGATTAGACGCAAGGAAGAAAATCGTGGAAGCTAGCGAAACGGGAGCCTGTCGGTGTATTACGGCGGTAAGGGTCGATTTGGCGTCCCGACGGCCGCACTGATTTTGTACATTTGGTTTTCTGAATCTTCGAGTATTAGTGCCTTTTTGAATATCCCTGGCCCCAGCGTCGTGTCATCTCACGCCCGACAGAAGGAACAAGAGAAAGACCGTGCGTATGCGTGTGTGTATGTGTGTACGCGTATGCGAGGGAGAGAGAGAGAGAGAGAGTATAGGGCAACAGGATTGTATAAGGCATTCGTGCTGAAGCATGTGTAGAGGGTGTGACCTTCTTTTCCTCCTGTTTAATTTTTTCTGTGGAAAACTCGCCTAAGCAATCTTGACCTCTAACGTAGACGACCAACCGCTTCTCGTGCTACCAAGTCGTCGAGGACAAGTCTCGTCTGTTTCGAAACTCGTAGGCGTCGACCAATCGACATTTTGGAACAAGTCCAGACTGTTCGAACGTAAATTCGGGCAAAGTTCGGCCAACAACCGGTGTTTGACGCGTCGACGAGTGAGGCCAATTTAACGTGACTCGAGCACAATTGTCAGAATTTAAAGTTGTAATTCTCCAAGTCCATAATTCGCTTTGTCGGTGATATTTAGGCAGCAGGCATTGAAATAGACGTTGACGCGTAGGTCGTCCTTAAAACTCATTTTGTCGTCCTCGGCCCCGAACGCGGTTCCGTGACCTCTTTGATCGCGACGATACTAATTTATATCCCTATTAATGGCACACGCCTCCCGTATAATTTAGAAGAGTTATCTCGTTGAATGCGGCACTTACGGAGTAAGAAGGAAGTGGCCTTACGTTCGAACTCCTTCGATACGTGTTGCTTCGCTTTACGCGTAAAGCATCGTTGAGACTCTACGAACGATCATTTATTTATATTGCTCTTTGTTATACATGTTTTTGTGGTGCTATTTTAATAAAATGACGATTAATAAAAGTGATATATTTAAACCAAACGAATTGTATTAATGCTCCGATGAAAAAAGAAACAATCGTTACGGTCACACATTTCTCTTTTTCTATTGAGATTCTCTTTTTAAATTGGCTCTTTGAACGTTGAATGGCTCCGATGGCGAACTCAATTAAAGTGGTGGTACATATTACTACCTACCGTAAACTTCCCCGCTCGACAAATGCACAATATAAAATACACCGTATAGAAACGACATCCGTGCTTTCTTAATATCAAAGAAAAACTTGATCGAGCACCAAGACGTGTCTCTGTTACACTAACAGCTATCCACATCCTCAATTTGTCATGCCTCAACTACAATATTATACATACTATATAACGCTGCAAAGAAACAATCCGTATAAATCGCAAAAATTTAAGCTCTAATTTCTCGTATTACGTTAATCACAATGTTACACCAAATGCCTATTACGAATGCAATTTAAACGCCAATGAGACTGACAATGAACGCGTACAAAGTATACACTCGAGACAGCCAGGTTCCACAGTGAAAACCAATGATTCACGATACCACGGACACATTTATTCGCATATAAGCAGTAAAAGGAGGATTTAATTGATCTTAATAAATGTACACGACTGGCCAACTGTTGGAGAAAAATTCCAACCAACCGCGAGTCAAGAAGAGGTTACATCCTCGTTTTAACGAACAACGGCCACGAGCCAATTGACTCGACGGTACTGTTTAAACCATTGTGTTTTAATAACTGATCCTACCAGCTGATTCTCATCGGGCGCGGGCCGCTAAACGACACCGACGACACGAGCTTTTTACTTTTCCCATTATTCGCTGGCCGTCGTATTTAATTTACTCTTTGAAATTGTTACGTCGCAGAAATATACAAGCACTATTTTATTTGAAAATATTCATGTAATATTTAATCGAAAAGGAAAATATCATCGATTCGACGTACCGTTGGCATCGGCGTTGGCGTCGGCGTCGGCGTCGGCGTCGGTTTCGCCGTCGCGTCGATCTGGGACAAAGACAAACGACACTCTTAAAAGTCAGGAAGTACGCCTTGGTAAATATCCATCGAAAAAGGCAGTTATGGCTCTGAAGCGGTGGTTTGCGGAACGATGTTGGTTCAAATGTATTTATTTACTTTGCTAACACCGTTTGCGCTGAAAGTTGCTGGTAAACTTTCATTCACTTTGATCGCACGATTGCCATAACGAATACTTGCCATCGTTTGCTACATTGGTTTTGTTTTTCGTTTGTTTTATTTTACTTTATTTTACGTTGAAATAAAGAAATTTAATCGAATAATCGAGCAAATGTTGTTTTCGACTTGCACGGTATTTCGACTTTCGAGGAATCGTGTAAATCGGGAGGTAGGTGCATCGGAAAAGAAAATACACGATAACGTCGAAGACGGGAAGAAAAGTTGAGCCGATTTAATTCGGGCTCGTTGCGCTCAGGCTTCTGTTCGACGAATTTGCCGGGTTGGTTCTCGCTCGGACAGAGTTCCGGCGCAACTTTTACTCCCGTATAGAAAATAAACCGCGAAACGAGCGCGCAGTCTGGACTCTCTCCGAGTATCGCGAGTTCAACGCG